ACCCACCCGCCCGCCGCCGCTTCCCCCACCCCCCCAGCCCCCCAGCCCCAGCGCCGCACGGCAACAGTCACAGCAAAGGGGAAGGCAAAAAAAGAAAAGGGAAAAAAAGCTTCGTGGTGGCTGAAACGGGTTGAGCTGCTGCTGAAGCACGTTCCGCGCGGCACAAGCTGCACACGCCGGCGGGAACGTCGTTCTGAGGGACCCACTGCGGGGCACCCGCATTTTGTCGGCAGCGTTCGAGCCCATAAAGAAATAAAAATCAAAGACATATTCGTACTGTTTCCCCGGGCTAGAAATAACCTTTCCCCTGGATATGCCAGGGGAGCCTGGAGACATTGTGCTGAATGTTTTTGGGTTGTTTTGTTGTGGTTTGTTGTTTGTTTTTTTTCTCAAATAGCAAAAAAAATAAAATAAATTACATCTAAATTTCAGCTGCCGAAAATGAACTTTGGGTTAATGTTGCAAAATAATAATAATTTAAAAAATATATTTCGGGATATTGTGGGTTTTTTTTCCTTGTGCTGGAAAAAAATAAAAATAAAAAATCCCCTCTGCTTGATGCTGTAAACCTGAATTAATAGAAAATAACCTTAACATCACAGTAAACCCCTGGCAAACGCAAACAGAAATAACCCTCGTGAAAAAAAAAATAAAAAAAATTAAAATCCACGTCTTCCTTGCTAAAGAATAGAAAACAAACATTTTATTCAGGCATATTTTTGCATGCACTGCTTAAGTCGAAACCAGCTGAGCTGCAGCAACCTCTATTTCACCGGTAACATTTCTATTTGGTTGAATTGCACATGTCTAATATTTAAACGTATTAAACCATGTTTCCCTGCTTACGATAGTGTCATATACATTTCTCACCTTTTAGGTTCTGGCTCACAGGAGCCCCTGCGACTTTGACAGCTGTCGCTTTGGCTGCACAGGAGACGAATCGCCCTCCTTTTGGTGCCAGAAGAAGCAGGAAATTAGCCAGGTTGCAAGTTGAAAATCTGCCACGCCAGTGCTTTGAATCCAATATGCCACACCTTCCAGCGGGGGAACTGGAAATTGCCATCCCGGATCTGTGTTCTAGGCGGCTGCTTATGCCGAACCTCCGCACACTTTGTTCACTATTGCCTTACAAAGGACAAATGAAATGGGGATTGAAAGCCAGAGAGATCCGAAGCAGGACAGAGCTCAGCAAAAGAATGCGGCTCTATTCTCGCAAGGGAAATTATAAAAAAGTTCATGTTCACGGTTACCATCCACATGACCGACAACGACCAATGGAAAAACCGAACAACTCATAAAGTTGTATTGCAAAGTTGTAAATTTTCATAAACAACAACGGATTTATGGCCTTTTCCTCATCACTAAGAAGAGGCAGGTCTTAGAGAGGCGCCATCTTACCACAGAGCCAGCCCTGGAGTTCTTTAAAAAGACCTGGAGTTTGTACTAATTTTATTAAAATTACAATTAGTACGTTGACCAGAAACGGAGCTCAGTAGAAAAAGGGAACTTCAGCGCAAATGATTCTCTGGTTTTACCTGCATTTACCCGGCCGAATAAAGGGACTTTTCAGACGAGCTTTTTTTTTTTTTTTTTTTTTTTTCCCTTTTTTTTTCCCTCATTTTTTACTCATTTTTTAGAAAAGATTGAAAATGTCAGATCTTGACGTTACGTGGTCCCTGGCAAAAACCGGTACCTTTGCTAAAACGGGGCGATTTTCCCCCTTTTTAGTGCCACCCTGCTGCCCCCCCGCCCCCCGAAAGCCGCACGCACGAGCTGCAGACGTACCCGGCCGGATCATTTACACTTGGAAGTTTTGCATCGCACTTTCAGTTCATTACCAAATACTATTTCATTGCGTGCGATTTCAGCCGCCTGGGCTGGGGTTATGATTGCAAAAGGACACGGGAAGACGGTGGAAGGAAACCCTCCCATAAAGAAGGCTTTCCGCTTTATTAATCAACTGCGCTAGGGGGGGAAAAAAAAATCACGAAGTCGAGATAGAGAAATTGACTGATTCGTACCAATTCATCACCTGGATTATTATTTTTTTATATATTCTGATTAGGGAAAAAAAAAATCCAGATTTATACGGTTTAATTTCTTTATTTGTCTGTGTAAATTATTTTCTGATGCTCCCTTCGAACTATTTCCCTAATAAAGAAACACAATTCATTGTCAACAAGCATATTTATTTTCTGTGTAACATAAAACACATTTATCGTGGGAGATATTTGAACACGGTATCACTTCCAAAGGAGTTCACAGACATTATTTTTTTTTTCCACTTCTAATACTTACACGGCATATCCAAATGTTCACAACGAACACATCGAAACACATTGTAACATACAATTTTTTAATAAACTTTAGCCAAACCTTCAAGACGGATTTATACAGAGTTCTTAACAATACACCATGCTACAAAGTTTCCAAATTAATTACATACTTCCCAATTTATGACATGATCTTACAAATGCGCTCCAAGACGAATATAAATGAAAAAAAACCAAACAAACCGTTCAAATATACAGTATCTGCTATTGTAGGAAAATTCACGGTATTACATACTAACACGTTCGGATAATCAGGACAAACAGTTTTTTTTAAAAGGTGGTTACATGGTCATTTAAATTCACTTTTCAAAGAACACTTTCCGCAATATTAAGTAAAATCAACCTAGAAGGAGAAAACGGCCTTTGGCAAAGGCAGCCGAAGGTAGAAGCCAACGGGAGATATTAAACCGCTTTGTACAATATTGGCGTATGTTTGTTTCCTTACTCGGAAGAGTAAAGAATCGAGAACAAAGATATATTGCAGCATATTGTTTTCATTTATAATTGCTTTGGAATAAATATATTATTTTAAATTTAAATATATTCAGCCTTTTCGGTACCAAATTCTATACCAAAGCTATTGAAGCGTGCTTTTCGAACAACTACACTTACATTTCTAAAAGCATTTTGCGATTCACATTAGTAATGTTATCTTCTTTTGACTACTAAAATACAGTATACTTTCGAAGATAGGTAGGCGGAGCAAGATATATAGGTAGTCTGGAAAATAGGTAGTACTAATCATTGCTGTAGGTTGTAGTGGTTTGTGAATATTTTTTTTTTCCCCCTTTACTTGCTGTTTCACCTCTTGTTAATGTAGCTGTTAGTTATGAAACTTAACAACAATTGAAAAAAAAAAAAAGAAAGAAAGAAAAAAAAGAGAAGTGCAGAGCTACTTATTCAAAATTAGGTAGTTTCTCTTAATGTGAGCCTAATGCACTTTTTCCCTTACACATGATTGGGACTATCGAGTCAGGTAGTTACTTCGGAAGGTCATGGTTTGCTATCTGTGCAAGCAGCAGTTCTCTCACTGAAATGTTCCCTGGACCGACCCACCCAGGTTTGGGTGAACGAAAAAGTAAATGATTGCAAGATGCTCTTAGGAGATATTACTGAAAGATTCGGCACGGGGCAGGTTGGAGGAGTGCGGGAGAATGGAGAGAGGGCTGGAAAACCACCCCAAGAAACGTTTTCATGTTTGCAAACGCTCGCTTGCAAGATGATTATTACAGGGAACTGAATTTTTTTTTTTTCCTTAATAAAAACAGCGAGTCTATATTTTCTTTTTTTTTTCCTTTTTTTTTTTCCCCTTTTTTTTTTTTTTTTTTCTTTTTTAAAGGGAGCCTTTCCAACTGTCATGTGCATACATTATACTAAGAGATCGCTTCCTCGAGTGGGACTCCTTAGTCCTCCTCCTCTTCCTCTTCTTCCACTTTCTCGACAGAGGCTGCAGCTGACGTGGGCTCGTTGGGAGCAGGGGTGCTGGAGCTCTCCTCCTTGTGCTCCTTCTTCCACTTCATCCTCCGGTTTTGGAACCAGATTTTGATCTGCCTCTCCGTCAGGCAGAGGGCATGGGCGATCTCTATCCTCCGCCGCCGAGTCAGATAACGATTGAAGTGAAATTCCTTCTCCAGCTCCAGCGTCTGGTAGCGGGTGTAGGTCTGGCGCCCTCGCTTCCTATCTGGACCTGAAAACAGGCACACACGGCCAGGAGTTAGGCAAGGAGAGAGGTGGAAAGTTTTCTCTTGAAAGTTGTAGGGTTTTTTTTTGTTGTGGTTTGTATTTTGTTGATTTTGTTTTCGTACTCCCCCCCCTTATTATTATTAATTTTACGACAAACAAACAAACAAACGGCGGCCGAGCGAGAGTGAATGATCCCCTTCTTTCACTTCCACCCGCCCCCCCATTTTGCCCTAACAAAGACATTGCAGCCACACGACCTGCCCTGCTCGGGCAGAGCAAAAATTAAGTTGCTCGAGACCTAGAAAAAGTGGAGAGAAAGCATTCAGGAGAGGAGGTGGGGGAGGAAATTGCTTTTGGGAGGAGGAACTTTCCCCTCAGGCGATGTATTTCCCTAAAACCTTCCAGACTTTCTCGTTTCGCGAAAGGGAAATAAAAAGCTGGAAGGCTGGGCTGTATTTATTTTATTTTAATGTCGGGGGCTCCCC